CCTAACTCACTTCTATAAAGATCTTCATTGACCATTAAATTTCTAACATCATTCAATTTTAGTTTCTCATTCCTTGATGAACTGTTTATCACCGTTATCATTCAAAACTAGCTATTAGGTAGAGAAGATAATAAAATCAATGCCTTAACTTTATAATCAAATACATTTCTTATCGACTCTAATTCATTGATTAATACATTAACTTTAGTAATGTGATTAGTCATAGACGTACCCTTTGTCATTTTTAGATTGAATGATCAACATATAAAAAATATCTTGTTTAAAACGAGATGACTTCTCAAACATATTTGGCAACGTCATCATCGGATCTGCTTGTGGTATTTTCTTTTACGATGTTAAAAGCAATGTTTCATGTCAATGTCGGTCGAATAACACCTAAAGCTTGGTGATCCAACATAACCCAATCAGCATCTTTCATCCCCTCTAGCATCTTCCACGATAAGGATTCGTGTAGCTTCTTACGGTATAGATACTCTTCAATCCGCATCTTTCAAAATCCAAAATCTTTGTCATTAAACTTATCAATCCTCACTTTTCTTTCTTTTACCATCGTTCTTCCATATCTCGCTAACCTAGGATTCTAATACCAATTGTTAGAAAACAAATGAAAAAAAAAATAACGTAGAAAGATAATAACAATTACACAATATAAAGATTTTATGTAGCTCGATAATGATGTTTACTCTACGATCGTATTAGGATTTTTTATTAGGTTTTGTCAAGTGGCAACTACGAATACAAGTGGTGCTGCCTTTATTTATAGTGTGGACAATTAAAGTTATATATAAAAAAAAAAGATCAAACCGATCTATACGACTAATCTACTATTAGACCTTTTAAGAGCTTTGTCCTTGAGCCCTTACAAGGACGAACTCCCATTCACATCGGTCTCCACAACTTAACAAACCCTTTGAATTTAAAACTTACACGGACCCACACTATCTTGTTCTTAATTAATTAAAAAAATATATAGGTGGTAAAATTTGAACTCATAATCGTTTGGCTATCAAGGTTCCGATAGAATGTTAAAGAATCATCCAAATCCAAAAGTTTAAGCTAATGTGCGAGGCACCATGAATGGTTTTATACCACTCTCTACCAATTATATGACTCGTCCATTTCAATAAAATCAATTCATAAAGAGATATATTAAAAAATAAAAACAAATCAACCCATGTTATCACCCATTGTCTCCTATGAAATAATCAAAATGCTCTTTGTAGACAATATAAAAATTGATTTTTTTATAGAAACAAAAATAAGATTGAGGTTTGAATCATTTACTAAATATTTATAGCCTCCATTCTACTTTTACATATCCACATTTCTATTTAGAGATTTGAAAAAAAATTCGCTTTTTCAATGAAGCTCATAAAAAAGTTTGATTTTTCAATCTTTTATCCTTTAACTATTTGATTAATTACAATTTTATTTTCAACCTCATGGATTTTTACGTTCTCCAAAACAAAAATAGTTTAGAGAATGTCCATGTAGACAAAATAATAACAATGTTTTGATAAATAATTGAAAATTTAATGATAGAAAAAATAAAATTAATAGGACATGGAGTATGTTCTTAAGGTGAGAATTTTAATGCCTATCTAATTGCATAAACAATTTTTAAGTTAGCCTCATGTGCATGGAAGTTTTGATGATTCATCATATTCAATTCATTGATACCAAAGTCATCGACAAAGAGTTGGAATTGCAAAATGATAACTATATTTTCATTTGGCAATCATTTTTATATAAAATAAAAGGATAGAAGTAACTAATGACGAGGAGACATGCAATTAAAAATAACTTCAATGTCGAATGTAATTATTACACTACCAAAATACATGTGCCTATAATTTTGATTGGTTAAGTATATATACCATCGATTCTTTCTTCTTCTTTTTTTTTTTAATAATAATAATTTCATACGCATACAATACCAATCTTCCTTCTCAAACTATAATCTAAAAATGTAATGACGATATGGATGCATTTATTTCCATGTCTAAAATACTTTCTAGCTCATTTTCCTGAATGTGTGTGCTTCGAAGTCAACGAGAATAGCCTTCTCTGCCAATATTTTATAGATATGCTGACATGCATCCAAAGCAAGATTCCAGATTGGGATCTTATAGATACTTTTATATTCAAGAAAAATCCATAGAAATTACATCATTAACCAAAAAAAAAAAACTATGAAGTTAAATAGCAAAGCAGTAAGACAATTTGATTTATTAAAAAACACATGCAAGCTCATTGTAACCAACACCTACAATTTAGCAAATCAGTTTGGGATTTCTCCGAATCTACCTAAATTTATTCCCTCTTAATAATAATATTAATAATAATGGCTGGAACATCGATCGAGAAGAAGTCAATACAAATTAAACTATTCAAAGGACGATTACTGTTCATATTAATAATTTCAAACCTCGCATAACTGTTCAACCAAGATGCATTATTGGTGGGTGGCTATGGATCGATAAATCCGACAAAGACTTTTCTTTGAAATTTTACAAATACCAAACCCTAGTGTTACTTTAACGAGCTAATTGTTTTTTTTTTTTTTTTTTTTTTTTTTTTTTTTTTGCAAATAATGGCTCCATTTTGAGTCAAAATTGTAAAATAATTTTATTTTATTTTTATAAAAAAACTCGAGATATTATTGGCAGGAATCTTGACTTTTAAACCAACATATAATATTTCAAACCGGGCTAACTATAATTTACTGTTAAGCAAAGGAAAACAAGGGAATTGGAGGATGTAAGCAGGAAGTTAGATATTGATACACTACACATAAATGATAGTAATCAATCAGTTTTCACTTGAAAATTGCCCTTACCAAACTGAAGATGGCAAAACATAAAATAACAGGTACTTCATTATTAATTATATACTCACATCCGATAATGAATTACAATCAATTTTAAGAAATTGCTTTGATAGCCAATAAAGTTTGCTCAATTACTTTGCTTCGGAAAAAAATTATTAAATTTCTTTGAACATATTAAATTGATTTAAGGGATGCATTCTCAATATTAATTAAAAAGAAAATTAGTATAGATTTATATAAAACATGATTCGAAAATATTCTCAACATAAAAAAATAAAAAATAAAACTGTACTTACCAATGTACTGATTATTATAAAGAGTTCATTTGCAAGAGAAACGATATTGAATGGTGCAGAAGAAGAGGCATTATTACAGATGTGATGGGCATGGTAGAATTTGAACCTCTTACAAGGTTACTTGCATATCCATCCAAGACTTGTGGAGATACCAAGGTCCTCTATCCCCACGTGTTGTGTTTTGTTTGGCAATTAGCGGAGTGTCCTTTAGACATCCCCAAAATTACATAAACAAAAAGGACACGTTGAACTGCCTAATCATCCATCCTAATTGGTCCCACACCGGCAAGGTCTGATACTTCTTTTTATGGGTCCCATCCACTATTTCGTGCATCGCCCTCTCTTTCCCAGACGGTGAGGCATGAAGTAATGATCTGGCAATTAGAGGCCGTTAGATCTTCCTTTCTAATTGCCTAATCAATGAAAACTTATAACGTGGTAATTAGCCAGTTCAACGTGTCAAATTACAGTAATTAGTAGCAAAGGTGGCAATCTAGCCAGTACAGCTTTTCCTTGCACCGTAATCCTGCATCATTTATGACATTTGTGTTTGTATAAAGATGGTCAAATTCTACCTAATTGTCCGGTCCCACTTCCTTCCCAACCTGCCACGTAAAACTAAGTACCCCTTCTTGGGTCCACCTACCACGTACCATTAGATTCCTCAACGCCAACCTTTTCTTGTGGTTGCAAAACTCCTCCTATTTTTATCGTATTTTTTTTCATATTTAATTTCTGTTTTAGTCTCATCTTTTTATTAATTTTTAAACTACCGATATTAGATTGTTTTTTGTCTTAATCTCATTTCGCTATTTTATTTTTCATCTTAATCTTATTTGTTTTTCAATCAAATTTAAATAAATAAAATTTAAAAAATAAAAGAATAAATATAAAGATATCTAATTATTTTTTCTAATTTTTTTTAAAATAAAGATAAAAACAATTTTTTATGAAAAATGTTTTTATAGGTTTAAATGTATATAGCAAATTAATTTTGAGTATTAAAAAAATATTTATGTTATTTTCTTAATATGTCTATATTAAGTAAATTTTCAATATAAAATAAAATATTTATAGTATTTTTTATGATATGAAAAGAATTTTAGTTAAAATTTTAAAATAAAAAATAAGTTAATTATAATCGATTTTTTTATGTATTATAAAATTATAGTTACATTTCAAAAGTTTAAAATTTTAATCAAAATTCTCTTCATGTTTAAAAAATACTATAAATATTTAATTTTTTAATCTAAAATTTTCTCAGTATGATAGAAATAAATTTAAATTCATAAATAATATTATGATCAGGTATATCTTTATAATTTTTTTTAAAACGATAAAAAAAAATGTAAAAGTACCTGTGCAGCGATTAATTTTTTTATTATGAATCTGGTGGCTGGTGCTACCAAATTTTACAAAATCATATCAACTTCACCGTTGCCAATTGCCACGTCTGTTCTTTTTGTCGTAACCCTCATGCGTTGTTTGTGGGTCCGGGCTTACTTAGATATGGAAGCACGGAATCTTTCCTCTCCTAATATAATAACTCATTGTCAGTTAGCATCGTCTCTAAAGTCCACCAGCGTGGCACCGCCAGATCAATGGTAGACAGGTGGCGGGGCATTCGTTGAAAAGCCAGTGAGTCCGACTTGTTTTACCGTTTACACTATTGATTTGATTTTCCTTTCCCCTCTTTCTTTCCTTCTTTCTTTTTCAGAAGCACCCAAAAGATGCGTGTGTAATCGACTCAATTCTCTCTACACACGTGTCACTCTCTTGTCAGTCTCAATTTCCCTCTTCTTTTTATCTCCTCCCTCCTCTCCTTTTTCTCGCTTTCTCTCACACCGATCTACATGGACCCTTCAAATGGAGACCAACGCCAGAGGGACGACTCAGAACTTGCATCAACAAGCTCAGGAATCTCCTCCATGCTAAGCAGCACGGAGGATTCTATAAGTAACAGCAGCTTGGGTTATATTTCCACAACGAGCGGGAGCTCCGGCGAGATTCCAATCTCTGTGGTGGCGGAGGAAGTGGTGGTACCGATGGATGTGGATATGGTGAGGGAGGAGTTAACAGTGACGGCGACAGTGAGGGAGAGAGAGAAATGTGTAGGGAGGAATAATAAAGGTGTGAGCTGGGGTTACACGTCAGTGATTGGGAGGCGGAGGGAGATGGAGGATGCGGTTGCCGTTATCCCGAGTTTTATGTCACGCACGTGCGATCACGTGGGAGGTTGTACGGCTCTTGGTTCTCGAACTGCCTCTGAGATCTCTTCTATCCATTTCTTTGGTGTCTATGATGGCCACGGTGGCTCTCAGGTACGTATACTCTACAGTATACAGTATGTTTACATTTTCGTTTCGTAAATTCTATATATACAGAGGTAAATCAAATAACTTTCTATCTGGTAGTATAATTTTGCTAGAAAAATTAAATTACTGCCTACAAAAACATGGGGGAGGTAGCATTTTGTTTTGATTAAGTAAGATAATATAGCTCATATTAATTACTCTAAACTTTTTATTTAGTCAATAATTTTGGAAAGTATTTTTAAAATTTAATGAGATTTGAGGTGGTAAGACGCGCGTCTTGTTTAGAGTGGTCCATATATCTAGAAGCGATGGATGCTTGATGTTATCGAGGACACGTTGGTGTGTGGCTTCACGGGTGTCCGTGATGGTCGTCATTCGTCCCGGCGTTTTCAAGTAATTTCCCCCTTTTCTTTTATTTTTTATTTTATTTTCGGGTAGGGAAAGAGAGGCGTATGGCTGTGATAGTAAGAATAGCGAATCAGGTATTGGTATTTTTTTTTCCCCCAAGAGGGTACGAAGCCAAACTGGCTGAGCCCACAAGTATATCTAGGGCAAGGTTCCTTCTTTGTTGGAAACAGCAAATGTGGGTGGGACCAGATACTGCCTCTTTGCAGGCCACGTATGGTTTTGAGCAGGACCGGTGGTTCGGTTGTCTCATTTTATTCCTTGTCGTTTTGGGCTATGAAAAATGTCCCATATGACTTTCTCACCTTAAACAGGACTTTATAGTGGTCAGAGGCAGGACACCTGTCGTCCAATAAGTCGGATGGTGCAATGAAGCAATTTAAATAGTCCATATTTTTCAAATAGATTTTCTATTTTTTTTTTTATTTATATCGTTTCAAAATATTTGTTTTATCAAAAATTTAATTGTTTTTTAAAATATCCTTTAATTAATATTCATTTTGAAGATGGATACTTAAAAAAAGTATTTAAAAATAATAAAAAATACTATATAACATAGAAATTAATAATTTTTTAATCTCTATTAAAAAAATCAAATAGAATAATCTTTTTAAGATTAAGAAAGTAGCTTTTTACATTTTTCTCTTCATAATGTTCAATTAATTAACCACACAGAGTTGCTATTTAAAAGGTAGCGTTTCATGTGTCAAAGGCCAGGACGTGAGCTGGTGGTCGTCTGATTTGTATGTCATGTTAACATTGTTTGATATGATTACTGGCTTACTTGTTTTAAATTTTTTGTTACACAGAATAGTATTATTATAATATGTAATTTGTATTTATGCAAAATTATAACGTGAAAACTGAATTGAAAAAAAAGAAAATCACAAAATAGTTCCATACTCCTTAGTGATGATTGATATGGATCAATGGATCAATTTCCAAAATAGGGGGGTGGAATTGTCTAAAAAAGGAGGGCAAATTGGAAGTTCTAAAACTATTACGAATTGTTTGAAAAATTAAGTGGTGCCACTTACAAATCTGCCCCCGAGTATAACACAGTGTTCTATATGAATTAAAAGTCAAAAGCATATTGAAGTTAAACATAGAAGGATAATACAAACTCATATAACATCTGTTACATTTATTATTTATCAAGAGTTCATAAGGAATGGGACATGTCTAAGCAGGGGGAGGAAAAAAAGTTGTATCATAAAAATTATTTAGAAACAAATTAAATTTTCATTTGAATGTACTAGCTTTAAAGATTTCTTTTTCAACTATATCTATATAGAAGATATGAATGCATATCTATGTTTTTATTGTTTGTATTTGTGAAATGATAAAAAAGTAAAGGCAATTTGGTATGCTCAATAAATAAAGTTAGATTATGGAGTGGGATTAACAAGCCAGCGGTGAAAATAACACCCCTTACTGTATTATGCCATATTTTGTTAACTAAGCTGCACTACGTTTTGCGCAAACAATAATTTTGAATGAGTTGAAACAAAAGTAATATAATCACTATGCTATGTCCAAAAATAAAAAACCTTAGGCCTATTTGGCTATTTTATTTTACAAATATAAATTCCTCATTCTTGGTGTAAGGGAATTTGTCCTTAGGCTAAAATGAGCTTGAATGATTTCATTAGTTAAATTAACTACCATGATCTTTTTATTTCTCAATTAGTATATACTTCAAATTATCATTAAATGCAGTGTCCATGACCTAAAGTGGATTGCTCGAATGGTGGAGGCTCTTTTTATTTGTTACTTTACTACTTGATTAATCTTTTGAGAAAAAAATATTTTTCCTTTTTGTAACCCTGCTCTATTAAAATTCAACACCAATGAATTTACACCTGTTCAAAGCATGTCCCTTTATCCCATGTTTTTGTGGTAATTTATAGGTAGCTGATTTCTGTAAAAAGAGAATGCATGAAGTTATACTAGAAGAGTGGGATCGTGATAAAACAATTGATGCATATGAATGGCAGAGAAGATGGGAAGCTACATTTTCTAGTGCTTTTGAGAGGGCTGACAATGAGGTATTGACAGAGGCAGTTGCACCAGAAATGGTGGGATCAACAGCAGTCGTCGTTGTGCTATCCGGTTGTCAGATTATTACATCCAACTGTGGTGACTCTAGGGCAGTACTTTTTCGGAGGACTGAAGCTATCCCTCTTACCGTTGACCAGAAGGTCATATCTAAATCGTTTAATGCTTTATGTGCATTATTTGTTTTAAGTTATTCATGCTTAGTGTTTACTTGTTTTCTGTATTTTTTTCCTCTCCAAAGAATTTTATTGCTGGAACTAAAATCTTTATCTAAATCATAACTACTCCTTATTGTAGGTCACCCAGATGACTGTAAATTTTCGGTATGATACCCCTCGGTCTTTTGTACTTGTCAAGGCACTTGCTTCTACACGTCACTTATGGCATCAGAATAAAATGAAATATAGAGTTCTAAAGATATATTAAATGCAAAATAGAATACAAGTTTTTCCAATATAGTTTTCTAAGCATAGGTTTAGGTACTTCTAAGGTTAAAAGGAAGGTATCTAATTGAGATAGCTTCACAACTGCAAGACATTCAAAATGTCCAATTGTCTATTTCCATGTAGAGGGCCCCAAAAGTCATTATTTACATCATATACTCACACATTAGGCGCTCTTTCACAGATTCATAAAAGTTTTTCTTGTATTAACCAGATTTTGGACATACATTGTTTTTTTTCCAGCCTGATAGACATGACGAACTAATGAGAATTGAAGGACAAGGAGGGAAAGTCATAAACTGGAATGGTGCTAGGGTACTCGGAGTCCTTGCTATGTCCAGAGCTATAGGTTTTCTTCTATACACATGTGTCTTTATATTAAATGCCCTCTTCATCTTTTGTAGATCATTTGTTTTTCTTATGGCACTTTTTTGTTGAAGTATCTTGATTAATGATCTTATAATGCTCGACATGCTTATGCTATCTTGCTTCGTTCAGTAGCTATGCTTTTTCTATTATGCTTAAGACTAGATTTCTGTAGATTCGTGGGATTGTTAATCTTTGCACTTAGGCTGAGAACTCTGGTAGTTTTGAACTTTATGACATGATGGCAAAGTTTAGAAACAAGTATGCATATGTAGATGGGAAGAGAGCTGTTAACTAAACGCACTCCAAGGACGAAGGTAGAAATATGAACTTGACAACATGATGACACTTTAAAACATTCTGGTGCTTTGCCACTTTCTGGAATTCTTGTGTATCACTCTATTTGTAGTTATTCAATCGGATTGAAGAAACAATGTATTTTAAAACCAATTACATGTTTCTTTGTTTTCTCATGTATAGTAGCATATCTGACAACCTGGCCACACGTACATATAGGTATCTAAATTTTGCTAGTTAAAACACAAGCACACATATATACTCTTATATTTTGGGCCATTTGATAATGTTCCTTTGATTAGCATTGGAGAAATATATATATATATATATATATATTTAATTTGTTTCTTTTGCTGTTCCTTCTCATGACTTCAGATCTCAAATCAATTAATGTGGTTTATATTTGATCAGAAAAACTTATTTACCCATGTCTTAGTGTGATTGATGACATTAAAACCAGTTGTTTGCTGTTTGAATTGAGCTCAACAATGAGGCCATGGTGCAACTGTCCCATTGTCTGTTGAAAGATCGATAAACTCACTTTGCTTCAAAATTAATTTTGCAACTTGATCAGATCATCCCTCTGTAAATCCTTTCATAATTAGTATGCGGAAGTCTAAAACTAGAATTGGCACAATACTTATTTCAATTTATTGCGGATTGACCTTATCTTCAGCAGGGCTTTTCCTTTTTTTTTTTTCTTTTTTTTTTTTTTTTCAATTAGTTTGGTGGTATGGTATAGAAGAATTGTATTTTTTGTGTGAATCTCTAGTGGTTGTGGACTTTTTGGTGTTTTGCTAGTGTCTTGTGTTGTTTCCTTGATGCATCGTCCTCAAAACAAGTACTTGACGATATTATTGTTGGTCTGCTATAACTGCAGTGCTGCTATAACAGGCATCTTGCATCCCAATCCATTTTCAGAGGCCATTTGTTGGGTTTGTCATTATAGATAATTAATGCTGTTTTTTGAGGATCCTTAACGTTGTGGAACCACCAAGACTTGTCGCTTTGGTTTATAATTAGAAAAGAATATACTAAACGACTTGATTCATATGACGTCTCTCTTTATATTCGTAGGGGTTTCTACCTGGCAGGAAAATTCTTTGCGTTCTTTAATTTGTTGAGGGAGATGTAATTGCTTTTGCATGTCTGTCATGGAAGGTTCAGTACTTGTAAATAAACTCTCAATAAAACATCAAACATGCTTGTCGAGAATTTTGAGAACCATTTGCCTTTTGCTAACTTTCAAAGGACAATAGTTACGTAATTTCATTATAGCTTATTTTCATGTTTCAGGTGATCACTATTTAAGGCCTTGGATAATACCGGTGCCTGAGATTACTTTCATGACAAGGACTGATGAGGATGAATGTTTGATTTTGGCAAGTGATGGTCTTTGGGATGTCATGACAAATGAAGAGGTGGGAGAAGTTGCTCGCCGAATACTGAGAAGGTGTCGCAGATCGTTGTCTGATGAGATTTCACCAGCACAAACCATTGCTGACAATCTCCAAGAAATGGCATACGGCAGAAACAGTTCTGATAACATTTCCATCATTGTTGTTGATCTAAAAAGGAGAAAGCGCCAGGTGAGACAATCAAGAGGGGAATAGGATCATTTGCCCTACCTCCTATTTCCCTGAAATACAATCTTCTCTCCTTTCCAAGTTAGAGCTGAGTTCAATGTTTGATGTTCCTCGTCTCTCATTGAATGGACTCTTCTCAAGTGACTCAATAGGTTCAGCTACTATTCCTGACCTGTATAGAGCTGACCGGCAACTGCTGCTTTCTAACAACCAGAACTGGTTCACGGTTGCCAGAACAGATCGAACAGATCAATCCTTACTTTTAATTGGTTTGATCCTCCCCCCCCCCCCCCCCCCACAAAAAAAAAGGTATTCTTATATTCAAGAGGGAAAAAATTAAAGAAATTGCAAGATAATTCTTGCTTCTGTTTTTCAATTTGAAGTTATTGTTTGCTGTGTTGGAAGTTAGTATCTTGCCTTCAGTCTTAATGTCAAGAAGGTGGAATAGGATTGAGAGTTCTTGTCAAATTACAGGCATTTGGGTAAATCATGAAATTGTGCAACGTTTGTTTCCTTGCAATTTGTGAAAAGCTTATCCAAGGTTGATAATGGTTCCATTTCTTGTTGCAAACTTTTATAGAATAACTTGTATGCAGGAGGAAGACTGGACATGTTTGTCAACTCTCTTTAAAAACAATGGAGGGAAGTCTCCCGCTTCCTGTTTTGCTCATCTCCTTTTGGTCCTCTCATTCAGATCCCCTCGGTGAGCAGAGAAGTTAAGAATGAAGATCCTTCTTGTTGGCTAGCTATCTTATATACAATGAGCATATGTCTTCCATTTGTTGATGCATTAGGAGGTGTGTTTGCTAGGAGGGGTTGGGGACTTGTGCTTTTGCTTGGAATGAAAATCCTTCTCGGTGTTGCAAGTGAGGTTTGCAAATTTCCCTTTCAAAACGAACGTTTTTTCTTCTTTTAAAAATTTCATACGTACCTACTTGAATTTTCAGGTTATGTCTCGTAATACATGCAATGCCTATGTCATCTTATAAATGTCAACTTGAATTCCAAATGTTTTAATGTCAAAGACTTCTTATATTTTTCACGTTAAACTCTTGTACGTGTATTTACAAAAAGTATCCCCGCTATCTGCAACTTTTAGAAAGAGAATCGATTTTAATCAACTCGCAATGACACTTGCAAATGTCAATTCTTCAACAAAATTATGAACGCTCTCTGCATGCATCAATATTTTTAATCTTCATAATTTGGTAATGTTTCCCACCAAGTATTGCATATGAAGAAATCTGATATAATTCTCTAGAAAAGTCCTTTATGTTGACAAAGTTTCCAATCTTTCCCTCAACCGTGAAGTCCTCATCATTTTCTCCTAGTCTACTATCTTCCACTTTTAACGTAAACATTCGTCTTCTCTTACATCTATGTCATGTCAAACGTAGTATTTTCCAATTGTGAAAGTAACATTGCCTCCTCTCTTTTTTTTTTTTTCATCATCCAATTCCTCGTTATTTGATAATCTCTTTATTTTAAACACACAATTGCTATTTTGGAATTGAGAAGATAATAGGTTTATTTTGGATAGTATTGGTATTATTGTTGAAATTTATATTAGAATAAAGGCCAACATTATGACCATAATTATTTCCTCATTAATATCAAATATCTTGTTATTATTATAGAATATTTTGTATTAAATATAATTCTTGTATATATGAAAATTCTCATATTTCTAGCTTTATTATAGGAAATAGTTGACTTAGTGGTTCTATAAATCTTTTCTTATTTCTCTAAAATAAAAGATAATGGCAGCAACAATCTTGCATGACTACGCCATCTGCCTTCATGAGTGTGATGGGGCCAGCAAATTTAGAAAATTTCATGGACAGCCCTATTCAACAGCCCAAAATATTTCAGCCCACTTGAATTCTCCAACAGCGGGCCTTGACTCACCTGCCAGCCTATTTACTCCGCAGGTCTTTTCTTCTGTTGATCCAGCTCATTTTTGTGGAGCTACGGGCCTTCACCACAACTAAGCTTGCAGCGGCCCAATCCCTCCTTCATTACCCAGGCTCTTGAGCAGGTTCATAAGCTCAGTCCGCATCATTTCTAGCCGCCCAGATCCAGCAACTTGCAAATTTATTGGCCTCCCAATCGGACTCCTCTACCGTCCCATATGCCAATGTGGTCTCTTCAAACCCCTATGGTCCGACAAAACCATGGATATCTGATAACAGGGCTACAGATCACATAACATGCAATCTGGGCTCTATGATTGATATCTCCCTAAATCCATCCACCCCACCGGTTCAAATTCCTAATGGAGATTGTATTCCAGTTTCATTTTTGGATTAAGTAATACTTGGCCATCATTTAACAGTTGAGCATGTTATAGGAGTATCAAATTTTTGTTTTGATTTATTCTCTATTAGTAAATTAACTAAAGATCTAAATTGTGTTCTAACTTTAGACTCGAATTTTGTGTGCTATAGGACGGATTTGTAAGAAAACTGATTGGAGTGAGTGGAGTGCAAAATGAGTTATATTATTTGGAAACAATGAAGGAAGGAAAGGCATTTATGGCAAAGAAGTATATTAAGGTAGATTTGTGACATCGATGTTTAGGATACATACCTATGAACCATGTGCCATTAGTTCCAAATTTATCTGTTCTGGTTGACCTTTCAAAGAATTTTACTTTTTTATTTTTATTTTTTATGATGCATATTATAGGGCAAAGCAATCGAGACTATCATTTCCAATTCGCACTAATAAATCAAGCAATAATTTTGATTTAATGCAATGGATATTTAGGGGCCGTACCACACCTTGTCTTATTCGGGATCATAATATTTTCTTATCACTATTGATAATCACGAGTCGGGCCACGAAAATTTTTCTCATGAAACACATCCGAAACTAATCATTGTCTTATGTTATTTTTTAACTTGATTCAAAAATGGTTCAACGCCAAAATAAAAATTTTTCGTATAGATAATGGTCTCGAATTCAATTATATTTATTTGATGAATTACTATTTTGATCACAGAATGACTAGACATACCACTTGCATGGATACCCCTTAACAAAATGGTGTGGTGGAATGCAAACACCAACAACTTTTGAAAGTGGCTTTTTTATTGCATTTTCGAGCCTATTTACCAATGCAATTTTAGGAAAATGCATCTTGATCGTGACATATATCATCAATCGTATGCCTTTTTTTATTCTACGTAACAAAATGCCTCATAAACTTTTATTTAATTAGGTATCTCATTAACGAAGCTTTAGATGTCTTTGTTATAGATACATTCATACCAAAAGTTGGAGATAAATTTGCCCTTCACGAGTAATTATTCAACTCAACTTATCAATTTTCCAATATGCATAAGGCCGAGCCATTTCCTAATGCACGGCTTGATGCATTCACACCTACTAGGGCGATTCACCATGGCCGAGGCAAGCCTATTGCAACTCTTTAAATAGACACGGAACAAGCCTTTGACGCATAACAAAGTTCATTTTCTTCCCTACTAGTAGGTCTGTATATACGAGTCCATTAATTCCCATATAAGCTCTAAATGTGGCCTAATCATGCCATATTGAACCTTTCCCTATCACTAGCAGATTTACACATCTTGGGCTAGGCATAGTTGCCCAACCCACCTAGGTTGATCCTTTGCCACATGGATCTTGTGCCATAAATCAATCCATCAAGATAGAAGCTCTATATCTAGCCCATATCCCTACATAGCAGACTCTATCTCACGGAATTTATCCATACTTGATCCTCTATTAATGGTCCTTCGAATTTGACTTCTTATGTGCACTCTTTAGATCAAGTGCCCCCTGCAGATCCTAGTGCATCTTTATCCGCCTCTTTAGAGAAACCATCTATTTGTGTCTACTAATTGTCCAAGTATCTCTTAGGTTCTTATTATACTTTGCCACCTTCCCTCCTCCCTTCCTCCACTTTACATTCTCTCGCATCTTTAAGCTAACTCGATAGTATATCATTTATCTCATACTATTTCATATTCCAAATTTTTTAGAACTCATTAAGCATTTTTAGTGGCCATCTCTTTTATCGATGAGCCTACCTCATTTTCTCAAACAAGTTCAACATGTTTAGTGGTGGGATGTTATGCTAAAGAAATTTTTTCTATAAAGGCCAATCACATTTGGATGTTGGTTCTCTTACCATATGGGAAACAAGCCATTCATTCTAAATGGGTCAACAAGGTTAAGTTTTGATGGATCATGCATCTTATGGGGGTATGAAATAAGTAAATAATTTTTCTTTATCTAGGGTTCCTAAGATCATGTTGTTGAATCAATTAATCATACATAAACATAAATAGAATTAAAGTAAGTGATTACCTCTCACAAAACAGAAACAACTTAAGCAAAAAGGGAACCATCCAAGTGTCCAATCTCTATTAATAATCCATACAACTCAAACACCCATACAAGAAGCTATAGAAATCGCAGAGTGCTAGCTCCAATCCTTCCGTATAGTTAATTTTTCTTCGGAAATACTTTAAGGTAATTTGCATCAACTTTTAGCTTTTTTTTTTTTTTTTTTGAAAGAAATGCAATAACTTTCATTTTTAAGGGAACAAAACATTTTTTCTCTTTCTTTTTTTTTTATTCTTGTGTATGTTTTTTTTCTCTCTTATTGCCACCTCTCACTCTTATAAATTTATTTATAAGAAGGAGGGGTGACAACTTCTCCTTGAAGGTCAACGAAATGTTACTTATGTGGGTTTTGTCAAACCTTATCCTTGTAAATCCTGAATTTTATCCAATAGTACTCAAGTTTATCTTTCCACTAAAATATCTTACGGACTTTTAAATTAAGCCTATTGACCCAAACTCTTTTGGCCTAATTATCAATTAATTTGGACCATCCAAATAAATTGAGTCAAGTATTTTTGTGATACTCACATTAGGACATAATTTTTCAAAATACCCTTAAGCTTAAATTAGGAAATTAATTTTCTTTTTAGATAACTATCTTTCAAATTCGAAGCCGACATCCAAATTAGAAAATTGATTTATAAAATAGGAAACTAATTTTCATTTTAAGAAATTAACTTTCCAAAATAGGAAACTTTCTAAAATATGAAACATTTTTTTAATAATTTTTGCTTCTCTTTTATCGTGTAAATATTTAAACTTATGCATGTGAATCAATAGGCTCTTAGATATGTTGACAATATATTAAGAAGGTAAAAGACACCTCTTTTATCTCTTGATATATAAATTAAAATTGACCTCTAGCAAGATATTATAACTATCCAATTCTCTAGAAGGATTGATTATTTCATGATTACCTTTCACGAGAATGATTTCTATATAATTCGATCCTCATCTCAATTTATCACGGTATGATCTCGAATTTTATTTATAGTTTGTTCGATTATGATCACATTGTTAGGATAGATGCCCAAGATCCAACCATGTTTGGATAGGTTTGAGTTATTATATTATTGCATCATTTATTTTATTAATAATAAAAGAAGTCTTTCTATTAATTTTATAGATCTTATATATTTATTTATTGAATAAAATTAGACGAAATCCTTATGATATGCATTTGTATTATTGATTGATCGAAAGATGTAAGATAAGCATTAATACACATAAATAATATCATTAAATGTCTCAAGTAGTAGAATTGTCAAGAATGGACATTGATTATAAGCGAGTTAGATTTGTGAGTGCTATGCTCATGCTATATGGTAGCACTAAAAGATCTCACACCTATTAGCATGATGATACCAAAGCAAAAACTTAGGTGATTTATATTAAAGAACATATCACTTGGACTTGACTTGCCATCGAACCTATTTAGTTTAATCTATGAGAATCTCATATGAGATAGGTACAACTGATCTTTAGACTTGAAGTCATCACAATTATCTCATTAGAGGATTTGTGTAAGGTTACACGAGGGTAATTTGTAGGATGTACTATATCTCTAATAGAAATAAGTGGATGATTAAGATAGGGCATGTCATTTCATGTATGCTAAAAGAGTTATCACATTGCACTTTGATAAATATCTGCTTAAGAAATCTGTGGTCATAGTAGTACACCAAAAGAGCATAGTTGGTTTACTCTAAGAGCTAAGACATTTGGGAATAAAAAAACTTATGTGATCATAATCGAATAAGATTAATAATCAAGTTTGAGATCACACTTGTGATAAGTTGACATGAGGATAGAATTATATGGTAACCATGCTTATAAAAGGTAATTGAAAATTAATTAATCCTCCTAGAGAATTAGATAGTCATGATGCCTTGCTAGAGGCCAATCTTGATTTACGTATCAAAAAATAAAAGATGTATCTTTTATTCTTGATACATTACCAACATATCTATGAGCCTATTAAGTCACATGCATAAATTTAAGCATTCAAATAATAAAAGAGAAGTAAAGATGTTGGAAAAAGTTTTTAATTTTGAAAGTTTCTTATTTTACAAAAAAGTTTCTGAAAATAAAAAGTTTCCTAAAACAAAAAGTTTTCCATTTTAGAAATCGGTTTCCTAATTTGGAAGTCGAGTTTCAAATTTAAAAGTAAATAACCCGAAAAGAATTTAGTTTCCTAATTTAGCTTTAAGGGTATTTTGAAAAATTGCTTCATAATGTAGGTCTCCTAAAATTATCTAAGCTAATTTATTTGGATAGTCCAAATTAATTAATTAGGCTAAAATAGTTTGGGTCAATAGGTTTAATTAAAAACTTAAAAGATATTTTGATGGAAGTATAAACATGAACCTTATTAGATAAGGATGAATGTTTTAAAGGATAAGATCAAAAAGCTCATATAAATAGTAAATCATAATCTTCGGAGGATTAGGAAGCAATAACCAAGAGTCCTTTTCAAGACTAGTTGCCACCTTTCTTTTTCCGTCGAGGATAAGAAAAACTCTTCCCTTATAAATAGGAGGAGAGCTACGGCAACAAGTGAGATTTTTAAGAGAGAGAAATATGGCAAAGAAAGAAAATTTTAGGCCACATGGCATTGACCAAAACTTAAAAAGAAAATATTTTTCTCCTAAAAACCCCTAGCATACACCACTTTCACTTTCTCTCTTAGGGTTGTCACAAAATCACGCTAATTAAATTTCAAAAGAAAAAAAATACTAAACAAGTCAAAAAGATATAGCTAACACTCTATTAATTTTGAGTGTTTTTTTATGGGTGTTTAGACTGCATGGATTGTTTCATAATCTTTAGTGATAATAGATCACAATTTAGTTATGTAAATGAGACACAAATTTAAAGGTTTTGCAAAGTTCAAAGTATTTAGATTTAAAGTCAAGAAATAAACTAGCAAAAGTATT